AGTGGAACAATTAGTGATAAAATTATATATAATGATCCTGAAGAAAACAGCCGTTTAACAGAGCTAGTTATGCTAAATTTTCATGACCGATTTTCATACGGTGCGCATTAGACATTGCAAAGTAACCCTTCAACTTATATAATGTTAAAAATACTGTGAAATATTATAAAGATTATACGTTTTAGGAAGGTGTATGAGAAAAGGTGGTTATTGGCTGAGTAAAGTCATTCAGACACAACAAATAGCATTGTATTATTAACTGTATATACATATGTAAAATATTAAAAGGTCTGGTTGCTAATATAATTGTTTCTAGAAGTACTTTTATTAACATAACTTACTGAAGACTATACAGAAAGGAAAATCAGTAAATTAGTTAAACGTTCGCTGCGTAAGTAGTAGAGTCGAGTTATATGTAACTGACTGAGCTGAAGACTGGACCGGCTTTTACTTACCATTTTACCTACATTTGTGGTCCTTTAGACAAGCTAGGGTGGACATGTTAATATGTCTTTCTAAGCTCCGTTTGAACCCATTGGGGTTTTCACAACATCTAATTTCAGATGGTAGTTGGTTCCAAAGAGTGCAATATTTAATGGTGAAAAAGTTTGCTCTAATGGATTTTCTGTGGGTAGCCACCTTGACAAGGTAGTTGTGGTTTCGCAGCTGATATGATTTAATATTTTCCCACGTTATGGATGAGTTACTATAACAGTGTTTTCTTATGACTTTGAATAGTAGAAATAAGTTGCACTTCACTCTCCTTAACCACAGTGGTTCTAAATTCAGACGCATACACCTGTCAACATATTCCACTGGTTGGTCAAACCCTATTATGCGTTTCGTTAGGAATCTCTGAACACTTCCGATTTTTTTTCGGTCTGCAGACCTTAGGGTACTATACAGGAGAGCACAATATTCAAGTTTGGGGCGGATACACGTTCTATATATAGCTAATCTTGCTTCTTGGGTGTAGAAGTTACGCAGCACAAAGCCAATAATTCGTTTACAGTTGGATACAACCTTATTTGCATGATCGGAAAAGGTTAGATCTGAGTATGTTGTAGGATTACTTTTGTCCTACAGATTTAGTCCTTCCTCAATACTGACGACACAGAGTCTGGGCTTAACTATAGTTAAAACAGAATGACTTGACTTTAACTTTATCTGTTTCTAAAACATAAAATAAATCATACAATTACACCAAGAAAAATGTACAAATCCACTGTCATTACAAAAAAAGGACAAAAACGTACCGAACAGTATTGAGGGTACGGACAAAATGAACAGTCAATGGCAAAGTTCTACAATAGAGTCCCAAGGAACGAACGCACAAGTGACCTTGAGCCGACCAGTCAGAAAAAAGGATGATTTTTGCATAAAATCTTACGTATATTTACATAAAAAAGCATAAAAAACGTTAAACAGGATATTTTTCTCTAATATGAGATAAAAATATCTCCCAATTTTGTATTGGGGTTTCAGTTTTTAAGTTGAACCAATTTCTATACATGTATTCATCCAGATGACTAAAAATAACTTGGTTTTGAAAACCATTTATAGCTTTTATTCTATTTCTTAATCTTCCCCAGAAACCTTCGATGGAATTATTACGAGTACCGGTGACAGGGTCGACGGAATCATTCGAATGGTTCACTCTATGATGTATATATCCCAATTGTGATAATTGGCTATATCCCGCCCATTCATCTGTGTGAATGGTGGTGCCTGGTAACACTAGACGCTGAATAATAGGGAGGAGTGTATCAGCACTCCTATCTAGAATCAGCTCCATAAACCCTTTGCGAATCTAGGTATCATAAATTCCTAAAACCCAAACGTTATTCGCTCTGGCACCCAGTAATTGGACAGAAACAAGATATTCAGGCAAAGTTAAACTTTCGACACCAATAACAACCAACCATCAAAGACAGTTTCAACTTTTCAAAGAAAGTTCCTAGAAGACAATTAATTCAGTGTCACTTACCAGTATGCACAATTATTCGCGCTAGAATAATGGTGAGCTTCCTCAACCAATAACTAGCATGCGTTCAGGGTCATTGGAACATTCACAAGGTCATTGGTTCATTTACAATCTTGGGACTCTATTGTTGAACTTCGCCATCAAATTAGCCACCACTGTTCCAGCCAATGAAAGACGAGAAAACCTGAGGCGCGGAAAAATTAACACGTTATAGCCTATATCCTCACCCTAGTTTGAGTATTCGCGCCCACGGCTGCACCTGTGTTCCCACTCAGTTAAGCAGTCTGGTGAGTTATTTACTATTTTACATGGTGTCATTGGTATATAATTGCCGAATGAATGATGATTGGTAACTTTGAATGCACGAATAGTTTCGAGGCAGCCAACTATTGTGGACAAGACTAATTCTTGTGAAAAGTGGTACATTCGTACTAAAAGTGTTTGGAGTATTGAAATAAGAAAGTGGATGCTGTTACAAATGCTTAAAATGTTGCAAGGATGCGTAGAGTCTCAATATTCTTCAAAGCAACCATATTGTAGAGTCAGGATCTGGTGCATGGAAGTAGGTACGACCCAGAGACACGGGGATGTAGTCAGGTGAAACGTAGTTGTAGGTGTTTTTGTTGGGGTTTTTATAGATGGCACTTATAATACGGACGCTTATCTGGGGGCACCAAGGTCATTCGTGAGTTTGTGTAAGTGAACCCTTACTCCTAAGGATATTATATGTAATGTTCAAGCGGCGCTTACTATTTGTGTCGTCAACTTAATGCATTGACCCTTAGACCTAGACTGTGTTTAAGGCTGATCTGACTCGTCGTTTATTTGCAGAGTCAATTGAGCCACAATATATGTTGTAATACCATCCAAATGACACTTTCAAATAGTACCACACATTTGCTCAGCTCTTATTTTGTGTCATTTTATCACTTCATCTTCGTTTAATTCTTAAGATAATGTTGATAACATAGATAAAGCGTCCGCAAGTACCTTAGGAATGTAATTCCAATATGGGTAAATTTTATTTTGATAAAGTCTCACAGTGTTATACAGTAATGTTTACTGATGACGTTTCGAGTACAATTTATTGCTCATAATCATATCAAGGTACTCTAGGAATGTGTATCACTTAAAATCAGATTTTGTTTTACGGAGAGGCAATAAAAGGGCAAGTTATTAACTGGTAAGTGTTGTAGGGAAAACCGAAGATTCTGTGATTGGCAGAGTAATGAAAAAATCAAGAGACTACTAAATGATTTTTAGGTTGGCGTGAAAATAATAGAAAGGTAGGTCGAACATCCTGCAGTGTTGTTTACTTATAGGGAATAGCAGAAAACCAATTTGTACTCTAATGCGTCACCACATCCAGTAACTAATCGATTCTCAAGCTCATTTTTTGAATAAGTAGAACAGCGGTTAGTGTTAAGTCTGCGTCTAATTCCAAAAGTTGTCAGTATATATATATTACTCCGAATTTCAAGTGTCCATCCCTTTTGATATATTGTGGCTTTGAAAGTTAACTTTGCACGCTGACAGATTAAGATAGATGATGGTCTGTATCTTGCACAGAAGCTCATGATGCTGAAATATATGGATCCCACAACTTGATTGGCCTGCGTAAGATATGTGTTAGAAGACACCAGCTTATGGCCGATGTTATTTGATTTTTTAAAACGTTTTGTATTTTCCAGTTCATATACTAATGCCGAAAAGGCCAAGGAACTCAGTAAAACAAGAAGACTGTCAGTTTGGGGTCGGAACAGGTAATTCTTTTTTTAGGTGTGCTAAATTTGTATATGATATAGATTAAACATATCATTGGTGTTATTATTCATTTCTTACTCTGAGAGAAACACGAAGCTTTTGTATCACATCAGCATCTAACTTGGTTCTCTGTTATTATTTTCGCTTGATTCTGTGATAACTCAGCCTTTTACTTCTTCATATGATCTTCATGTTACCTACGGTCAGCCAACTTGTTGCTACCTATTTGGGCTATATTAAAGGACCTGAAGTTTGATGTTACAAGGAAGTTTTCTCGGAGTGTGCCCAATCCTTTTCCTCCACTCTCCAATGTCTGTTGCATGACCCAGTCGACCACAATCAAGACGATGATGGGTGATAGAGAGTGGCCTTGTCTTACTTCTGTTTTCACTACAGATTCTCTCCGGTTGTCTTTACGTTGTGAATTATTTGACTTTTGGCATCATCGTAATAGTGATTGAATAAGGTTTATAGACGTTTGTGGTACTCTGTAATGTTGAAGCAGTTTCCGAACCACATCGATGAGATTAATGTGAAGAGTTGTCTGTGACTCTGGACAGTGTTCGATGATGATGCGTAGTGTTGCAATTTAGTCTGCACATGGAGTTTTTCTTCCTGAATTCGGTCTATTCCCTGTGAAGCCTTCCATGCTTGACACCTTTCAGTCTTTCCAGTATGATGTAGTTTGATACTTTGTCTGAGGTAGATAGTAGCATGATTTCACACCTGTTCTTGAATGGACTTGTATCACACTTTAACGCAGTTTTACATGGTAGCTATTATTCCAATCGCTATCAGATTTAATTACTTCATCCAGCACGTACATTTGTGGCGTGAGATTGTCTCCTGAAGTCTCTGTGTCGATAATGTATCTTCCATTGTGGCTTCCTACTGGTCTCGATTTATTCGGGGACCAGAATATCTATTTCGTGATGTGTTCTACATTACCATCCATCATTGGATGATACTATCATGTTAATACATAAGTCGAGTAGAAGCAGTTCATACATATATACCTGTAAATTCTCCAAATTATAAGTGTCTATCAGTTTTGACATTTTGTAGCTTTGAAAGTGAAAGAGCACGGACTTAAATAGATTTAAGTAGGTTGCTTGCATCTTGTACAGTAAACATCCCAACTATATCGATCTTGTATAACTATGATTGTCGAATGATATCAGCTTATATCGAGTGTTATTCAGATGTAGAATGTTAATCCCTTGAAAATTTTGTATGTTTCAGTTAATGTGAGAAACCCGAATGTCTAACTGAGGCAGAAGAAGAAAACCGCGAATGTCCAACTGAGGCAGAAGAAAAGAACCAAGTGGAAAAGTCTGTGGAAGATACAAGAAGTAAGACTCTGTTTATAGACGTGTTGATTATGCATTCAATATGCTTTATTATTGTTTTTCAAAAATTTTATTGCTCTGCATTCCCAGTAGAATATGGAGTTTCAAGCTTCAGCTTTAACGTTTCAACAGCACAGTAGTGTTTCCTTTATAATAGATAGGGTTGTTAATCTCATGCCCCCAACCTCTCCCCTTTTCCGCGCTTAATGCCACCTTAGTGAGGCGCTTACCATTTCGATCCGTCCTCCACTATCACTCTGAGACAAAGACACTGAAAGTGGAAGACATGCAAAGACTAGCTGTCTCTGACCATAGGTGTCTACATTCTATCTCCAATGTTAGTTTAGGTGGTAGAATAGGGTGAGCAATAATGTAGTTAGGCGCTGAGTGTTAGACAAGGAAGGGAAATCAATCGACGAGGCTGTGAAGTTGCATCGATGACCAATGTTAGCTGACTGATATAGGATGGATCAGGCTGGAGAGGAGCTAGCACATGGTGGTCAAACCAAAACATGTCTTCATCAGTCAGTGAAATCCATTACAGTTTGTGTAAGGCGGCCACGTATGGAGGTGTAAACTTCCTGACTGACTGGTTGGGGAACTCGGGAAGGTAAAGACTTATGGCTGGAGAAAATTGTTGGTGATATGGCTCAAAATGGTTCTCAGTGATATCTGGCGCAGATGTATTCACTATTTGTGATTTGTCATATCCAATAAAACTCAACTGTTCTTCCATATTACTATTCTTTTGCCTCGTAGCTCTGTTTATTACCTCTGCTTTGAAACTTTCTCTTCTCTCGCTTTGTGTGGTACAAGGAGGGAGTGTGGCAACTGAACTGCTGCACCTGTGCGCAAAGTTTTATGTGGAAAAAATCATTCAGTTAGTATTAGATCATTGGGTAGAATTTTCGATTTTATTGATAATAAAGCCCACAAGTTTTTTAACTTCCTCATATGGTCCTGTTTTAATATGTTGACTGACCTTGTTTATGTTATCTGATTTGTCCATGACTACTGTTGTATTACCCTTGTCCAATTTTGCGATCACTATGTTTTTGTCCTTTCTCAATTATTTAGAGCTGCTATTTCGTTTTGTGATAAGTTGCTTTTTCCTTTCTTCTGATTATTTAGTGTCACACTACATTTTGCTCTGACTTGTTCCGCAGAGGTCTTGTATATTTCACTTATCGCTCCTTCTACACGGGGAATGACGTCTTCAGATTTTAATCTGTTGACAGCCACGTTTAATCTTGCTCCTTGGTTATGGTGGAGGTATATGGATAACACATTCCATCACTGTGTTGAAACCTGAATATATCCCTCATTTTTTCACACATATAAACTTAAGTATACTTATTAGAATTGTAAGTTTCAGATAACAAATTTCGTTAATGGGTTAGAAACTAAATTAGGATGATACGAGCAAGTTGAATGACGTAATCTAATTGACGTGGTTGAGTAGAGCTCAGCTAAATTTAAAACTGAACTAAACTCAAGTTTACAACTGTGGAAATAAGGAGTAGAGATTTAATAAGGGGTGGGCGAAAAATATTATACAATTAAGAAACAAACAAGCAAGAAAAAGACGAAAAGCGTTACGAATTTGGTGTTAAGATAGGTCAAGTTCACTGAACTGAAAGAGAATTGAACGTTTGGGGGTTCATCTCAATAGGAATTCCTTCAAATATTCAGTAGGTATGCTGATATTCGTCTGCTTTGAGTCAATATTTTCACATATATAGCATATTGTTTCGGTAAGTGGGACGTTTGTAAACAGTGATACCACATCTAATGAGAACATGGTTTGACTGGAAACATTGACGTCTTCAATGGGATTGACAAAATCGAAGGAATCTCGGAGTAAGTGGCAGGAAATTTGCCGTCTGACTGGTTCTAGTAGGTCTACTAGCCACTAGGCAGTACGATGATTTGGTGAATTGGTCATGTCGAGAATGGGTCGAAGAGGTATATCTTTCTTGTCCACTTTCGGTAATCCATAAAGATAATTAATCAAACTTGTTCAAACCACAGAAGCGATGGCAATCCACATATTAAAACCTGAACACTGAATACAAAAGAAGTTTGTTCAGTCATAAAATCTACAGTGAACTCGACCTATCTTAACACCAAATTCGTAACGCTTTTCGTCTTTTTCTTGCTTGTTTGTTTCTTAATTGTATAATATTTTTCGCCCACCCCTTATTAAATCTCTACTCTTTATTGCCACTGTTGTGAACTGGACTTTAGTTCAGTTTTAATTTTAGCTGAGCTCTACTCAACCACGTCAATTAGATTACGTCATTCGACTCGCTCATTTAATCCTAATTTAGTTTCTAACACATTAACGAAATTTGTTATCTGAAACTTACAATTCTAATAATTATACTTAAGTTCCTAGCCGATTAACGCTTTTTACATTATGTAATTTGTTAACTAAAATTTACAATTCTAGTGACGAATTCTTGAAATATTCATTTTGTTGCTAAGATAATTTAGTATATATATATATATATGTATATATGCGGCTGTACAGCATGAGAATGATATCTCCGAAAAGAGTAATTCTTCGCTGAACGTCTTTTCTTTCATATGACTGAATGGGAATTTTTTAGTTGCTGAAACGTTGCAAAAAACTAAGATTAGGAATAAAAATGACAACAGCAAGCCTTTGTAGCACTGACGTATGAAGAAGGAACGTCAGAGGCCTTATGTAGGATTCTCAATGAGGCTAGAATGAGTCGAGGTGACATTTAAAGCAACCAACCAACTAATTCGCTCAGAGATAAACTTTGTCGGCTTGTGAACCCAATAGATCCAATAAAGAAAAAATAAGATAATTAACCAAGTACCATATAATGATTATAACTGAGATCAATTGCATCATAGGTCAAACTAGTAGGTCAGGGTCTGTTAGATTATTGGAATATAAAAAGTTAGCTTGACCTAGAATAATTGACCCTGATAAGTTCAATAACCTGGAAAAAAAACAGACCTCAGCCATTGCACTGCATTCACTTGCATGTAATCACAAAACAGGGTGAGTGGGGCAGGGCGAGAGAATTAAAAAGTAATGCAGTTAGGTGGAGTGTGAGAGAGGTTAATAACTGAAGCTTTGTTTATCGATTCAACACAGCACACGTACAATCAGAATGAGATATGGAAAATGGCAACGAACAGCAAAGGAAATTTGGAGAGACAGAAAAACAGAAAAAATATTTATGTGACAAATTTTGAAACTGTGTGACTAAAATTGATATGATTGTGAGCAATAATTTGAATGCAACGTCATCCAGTTGTTCATACTGAATCGCTGTGTGATATTTAAAATAAACTGATGTAAAATTGAATTATATGCTACCACAATGCCCAGGTTCTACACGTGCATTACTCTCACTCACAATTCTTTTTATGCTCTTCTCTTGATTTAATGGTATATGGAGAGTCGCATGTCGAACTCCTGAACATATCTGCAAAGTTCTATGTTGAAGTGAGTCTGTCAAGTGAAGTTATGGAGTGTGTTATTGGCGAACATTTTATGGCTAAGCCATTGGTGCCTTCCAATATGTTCCAAGGGCATACAATCAAAGTCATTTAAAATGATATAACCACTTTGTCTACTGTATTTGTGTGTAGTTTATAGTTACTCTGAAAACAGTGGAGTTTCTGAGCTCACCCAACTGTGTTAGTCCATCCATTGTATTTTCACTAGCCTCTTTCGATGTATTCAAACTGTGTTAATAAAAACGCAAAATATGAGGTCTAGTTTGTAGCTGATAGGAATTCAGTATGAGGGTAGAACTTGTAGTCCCGTGCACTCACAGTTTTCGCGTAATTGAATGTTCCTGTCAACAGCCTTTTGACTGTCTCATCCAAATTTCTCACCTTTTCTTTATTCGATAGTGTATTGAGGTGGTTTCCTATCTGCTAACTATAAGAGGAATAGATCTAAAACAACAGTTGTAATTGTAATGACTAATTTATATGACTCATGAAATATTTGAAAAGTTTCAGGAGTGTTTGTATCGTCTTATTTTATTTTTAAATTTTAGAAAGAGTCTATTGTCGACATTGTGACAAAGATTTTGCAAAGAAAAGTCATCTTAAGGAACACATTCGTGTTAAACATGAAGGTTAGTTTTTGAAAACACAATGAATGATTGTTTCTTTGTACGATACCGTTTTGCTTCACAGCAAACTACAAAATCACTTCAAAGTTTACTAAATATTCAGTCACGTTAGAGACGGATAAATTCAATGTTATGATAAGAAGACAAACCCCAATGGCTTTCTCATGTGTTTTTAGTTTTCATGGGTGAGGTTTATAACATTCTGGAGTTTGCTCTAAAGGACCTGGATGGTGATGGCAAAGATCTGTTTCTTGGAGATTTTGCGGCTTCAAGTATATAGACGATATCGTCTCACTGTGCGATAGCACGCGGGCTGCCCAAATCGCACTTGATCAGTTGGCGGTCAGCGTCTGTAAGTATGCTATGTCCTTTGCGCCACTTAATTGCATAGTCCTGTTACAAGATTTACAGGAGCCTGCACTCACTCTCGCAGGTGGAGCGCTTGAATTTGTCAATAAGTCCATGTATCTGGGTAGTTGTGTGGGCGCTGGCAGCAATGTGACTGTCGAGATTTCCAACCGTGTCATGAAAGTTAGAGTGGCATATGATAATTTGAGTCACCTCTGGCGCTGTCGCGACGTTAGCCTGACTGTGAAAGGTTGGGTTTGCAACGCCTTGGTGCGCACTATCTACCTTGCCCCTCCGAGCTGAGAATGTGTGGCAACTCTGTGTATTTGACCATCTCTGTCTCCGTAAAATTGCTTGGGTCCGATGGCATCATCGTATGGGTAATTTGGAGGTCCGACAGCATGTATTCGCTCACAGGAGACATCACCATTCGTTGATCGTCGTCATCTGGTAGCACCGGCTCCGATGACTTGGGCATGTTCTATGAATGTCATCCCAGAGGCTTCCGTACCGGTCTCTGTTCGCTAGCCCTGGGACGGGATGGGAAAAACGGAGAGGTGATCGACCCATGACGTGCGGTCGTGGGAGAGAAGATATTTGTGGTGGTTTAGCATCGGTTGGTGCATCACGATTCCCTGTTTAGGGTCCGAGAGACAGTTGGAATCGGGTGCTCAAAACGTTATCGAATGTGGCCAAAAATCGCAATCATCAACGGTGAAATTGCTACAATTTCCTTGTTTCTCCGCTTTCTAACAATAATTCGACGAATGCTATTTGGTCTTGTTAATTATAAACTACTTCCTCTCGGAAGAACTCCTTTATTCAATCTCTACCTATTTTTTTAAGTGTGTTGTTGTTTTGTTGTTACTGTATGGCTCATCTTGATGCCTATGCGTCCAACAATTGCCATATTTCTTGACTTGAAGGCGGCCTTCGACTCCGTGGATCGAGAGGTACTATGGCAATGTTTGACTGTGAAGGGAGTGCCAAGAAAGTACATTGCACTAATCAAGGCACTGTACTCAAACTCACGTAGCCATGTAAGGGCTTATGGGGAATTGTCATCTGAATTGATAACAACCAGTGGTGTCCGTCAAGGATGTCCACTTTCCCCTTTTCTGTTTAACTTCATCATAGATATGCTAATGGAAGTATCCTTAACTGAACTTAACGACTTAGGAATCGACTTGTTACCAGGAAATAGTCTTATGGACTTAGAATATGCAGATGACATAGTCCTGTTAGGGGAGGACGCTGACAAAATGCAGAGTCTTCTGAACACCTTGAGCAGCAATCTTCGTATGTTTGGCATGCGATTCGCCCCTGTAAAATGTAAGATGCTGCTACAGGACTGGACTACGTCAACTCCTAGCTTAGTGATAGGGAGTGAAGTGATAGAACATGTTGACCACTTCACCTATTTAGGAAGTTGTATCAGCACCAACGGATTGATTGGTGACGAAATCTCAGCACGGATCCAAAAAGCTTGGGCTGCTTTCGCTAACTTACACCATCTCTGGCGTAGGCGTGACATCCGGCTATCAACCAAGGGACGTGTGTACTGCTCAGCAGTTCACTCCATCCTTCTCGTTGGCTCTGAAACATGGCCGAAACGAGTTGAAGACATGAAAAGGTTGACTGTTTTTGATCATAGATGTCTACGATCTCTTTCTCACGTTAGGTGGCATAATAAGGTAAGTAATGTTGACGTTAGGCGTAGAGTGTTGGGCAAAGAGGGAAAATCAATCAACGAGGCTATAAAGTTACATAGATTGAGATGGCTAGGTCACGTGCTGCGCATGCCTAACCATCGCCTCCCCCGACGGGCATTACTAGCTGATATAGGTGCAGGTTGGAAAAGAGTAAGTGGTGGCCAAACAAAAACATGGCATCAATCCATGAAATCCCTGACAGTTAAACTGAGTCAGGTAGGGAGATGCAGACTTCCGGGTTGGGGCCCGCCTCGGGACTCTAAGAATCAATGGCTGGAGACAATAGGTGACATGGCTCAAAATCGTTGTCAATGGCTTACGCAGATGTATTCAGTCTCTGTAATCTTTCATATTCCTTTCTACCATTACTCATTCTGTTTCACTCTTATACCTGTCAAAACTCTATTGATTCTCTTCACTCATTTTCTTGTCTACCTTTGTGTGCTATTTGGAACGTGGCAACTCGAACTGCTGCACTTCGGTGCCAAGTTCTATGTTGAATCCAGCCAGCCAGCCAGCCTTGATGCCTATGTAGCAACAGGTATTGTGTTTTAAATACATAAATAATTACGATGTTATCAGCCCACTGCCTACCTTCTTTGGGGGATATTTTCGGGGGTTAGAGAGTAGGCGAGGCATTTTCCTATGTTCAAGTTTACTTGGAGTATGCATGAAATTGTTTTGATTGCTGTATGATGTAATACTTCTTGATATACTGTATTTATTGCATTTACTCAAAAGGTAAAGCCTACGAATGCGTAACCTGCCATAAGAAATTGCAAACACATAAAGGACTTCAAATACATCGAAAACTTCATGAAGGTAGGTGAAGATGTTGATTTCTTTAGTTTTTTTCAATTTCATTATGTGATTTGTTGTTTTCACCATAGTTTTCATTTTTTGTTTCACTCTTAATATTGTTATTGCTGAGTTAATGTAGTTGATTAGTTAAAGCGTTCGGCTGCTTTCAGCGTACGTCTCCAAAGTGTGTATTTGGTTTCACCTAATTCTAATTGATTGATTTCAACAAAGAACTTTGCACACTTGTGCAGCAGCTCGAGTTGCTACTCTCCATGTACCACACAAAGCAAGAGAAGAGAATGAAGAGAGATAATCAACAGAAGTGTGAATGAAGCAAAAAAGAATAGTTACATGGAAGAACAATAGAGTTTCATTGGATATGACAAATCACAGAGTGAATACGTCTGCTCCAGACATCACTGAGAACCATTTCGAGCCATATCACCAACAATTGTCTCCAGCCATTGGTTATTGGAATCTAGAGGACCCCAACCTCCCGACGTGGTCGGCTTAAACAAACTGAAATGGATTTCATTGACTGATGAAGACATGTTTTGGTTTGACCACCATGTGCTAGCTCCTCTCCAGCCTGATCCATCCTATATCAGTCAGCTAACATTGGTCATTGATGCAACTTCACAAACTCTGTATTGAGTGACCAGTGTTGATTATATGTTCAATTATAGTAATCCTTATTGATCAACTGTTACCTTTTCGTAGTCATGCGGGTAATGTCCTTTGACTCTTTTAGAGTAAACATGCATCGATTGACATATATCTTGCTCCACATAAACAAGCAAATTGGACGTCTTTTGTATTATGTAATCCTAGTCAAGACTTACCAATCTTCACCTCTCCCCTACTCTCGCCATAGTTATAATTTGATTATTCATCACACACATACAAACCAAAAATAATTATGCATCATTGCGATTGTACAGCTAAGTGAATGAATTCACCGGCGAAAAGAGACTTTTCTCTGAACTGGTTGCTCTTACACTCATATTTGTTAATTGTAGGTGGTTGGTAGTATCATAGCCAAAGCGAAGAGATGTTAGGGGTGCGGGGAGGTAAATGTTCCTGTGCATATTTAATTTTCTTTTTTTATTTCCTTCACGTTCCCCAGTGGAACATAAGGCTTCAAGCTAGTGACTTGAAGTTTCTGTAGCAGTGTTTATTTTACAGGATGGGGTTGCTAGCCTCATGCCCAACCTTTCCTCTTCACCAGCATTATTTCTGGCTCAGTGAGGTAAAGGAGTGCGTCGGCTGGGGATCGAACCCCGAACCATGTGCATGGTTGGCGAGCGTCCTAACCACTATGCATATTTAATGACAAGTGAAATTTTTCCTGTCTGTTTTTATGCATCATTTTTAATTGCTTACTTCTGTTTTAGATATCGGAATGAAATGTGAAGAATGTGATGAACGGTTCACATATAAGTCAGACTTGGATAGACATTACAGAGCACTTCATACAAGTGAGTGAGTGATGCTGCTGCTGTTGCTGATGATGATAGTTTGTGTGATTATTATTTGTAGAAATTTTGCTTAACGTTTAAATTTTATTGAATTCTCAGTGTCTACAGTGATGAAAAGTTCCTTTTGCCATTTCACCTTCTGATGTTAGTTAGTTAGTTTTACTGTTAGTCCTCACAGATTTACAAAAGCTGGTTTACTTTTCATCAGCCAAAATAAAACAAAACAAAATTTCATACATTTATTCTCCTTTATGAATTTGAATAAAGCTAAAACAACAGTGATATGTGGAGAATCAAAAATGCCACCATCATTGGTTATTTCATTGGCTTCTCATCAGATGCTTACAGTCTAAAGATATTATGAAGTTTATGTACTTACCCAGAGAGTTCAAGTTTAAACAAAAACATCAATGTATGCATACAATGGTAATAATAATAATAATAATCGCTTTATTCCAAACAATGATAATCATACAGAATGGGATTTTCAGCGTTACGTTATCAAATGAAAGAGAGAATAAAGACATCCTGTTAGTTGCCAGAGAAAGGAAAGACTGACAACTGCTTCTTTCTAAACACCTAAATCAGGTTTTAGACGTCTGATGGAGATTGCTTCGACAAATTTGAGGAGAATTGAGTTCTTTTGTCTATTGCGATGTCCACCTCATGACCCGTGTGAAGGAGATGCCTGACAGTGGCATGATTGAAACCGTTTGTCGCCTTAAAACCTAGGCATTTTGGTACATGTCCATAAAATCGGAGGTGTGCCATTCTTTCTGTTCTCCCAATGTAACTGCTACCACAGATACATATAAAGGGAGAGCATAGGTATGTATATGGCTCGTTAATGGAACATGTAGTGAACTCAGGAAACTCAGATCTATTTGGAATGTCCTTCAAAGTCCTATACAAGGTTCGATCCAACCTATCAAGGTAACTGGAGTTAACTGACGCACTAGCGATCCAAAAGTTCAAGCCCATGTTATGTGTTCAAGAGAACTGCGTCCAATCATTGTCCCTACCATGACCTCCAGAAAAAGTCATTCCTCTCAATAATGATTATCCTATTACCTTTCTTATCTAATCTTCCGTTATTTTCATGTTTTTTAATTCCTACTATCTGCATTACCATGTTTTTTATCCGAACTTACTGCTCATTTTCTTATTGAAGCGGTAGAAGACGAAAGATCTTCGTGTTGTGGTACTTCTGGACTTCATATTGTGTTTCTTTGTGTTCTTTTCTCGTCTCCCATGTATTCTGACAACGCTGTATCATTTGCTTTCTCTGACATCAAGTGTATCTTCATGCTATTTGATGTTTTCATGCCGATGAACGTCTCTTTATATACTATTGATAAATCTTATCAGTAGCACTCGCCACATTAATACTACGTTAAGTTTCTCAATAATTATGATCCTACTATGTCTATTTATCTCATCTGCCTGTTTAGTACACTTTGTGATTTTATTAATTTTACCCTTGACCGGAAATACTTCAGGAGCCTTCTCACCCATTTACTCTATAAATACACGAATGTACTACAGCCTAGTTGATGATTTAGTTGAAAAGAAAATTTTCTTCACTGCAACTGTCTTTTTACTATTTTCTTTATTCAATAAGTAAGTCAGCCATTAATCTGCTGTCTACTTGAAATGAGCTGTTGTCAGTAATGTATTATGGTTGTAATGTATATATGATTGATTAGTGAACAGATTACTACAGTATATGTGAACGGTAGTTTTTGTTTTTTATCTTGCACAGGTTTAGAGTATAACTGTGACCACTGTGAACAGACATTTAGTTGGAAGGCGACTTTAAATGAACACATACGCTCTGCACACAAAGGTAAGCACTTTTTTCTGCCTTTTTCTTCACAACCATTCTAAACAAAGTAATCCCTTACCGTTATTATTATTATTTCAGAATTTGCACTACCTTTAACTTCAAAACACCAAATTGACTAAATTTACTTCAAATATCACACACAGTGATGATACAGTATTAAGCACTGGATGGTGTTTTATGATCATATAGATTTAGTCGCACGGCTTCACAATTTGTCTTTTATCTTCCGCTTGTTGTTTGTTGCCATTTTACATATCTCCGGGATAGGTGTTGCGTCATCCCGATTGCATGTGTGTGGTGTTGAATCGATAAACAAAGCTTCAGTGATTAACCTCTCTCTCACTCCACCTAACTATATTACCTTTTAATACTCTCACTCTACCCCACCCTATTTTGTATAGCTACATGCAAGTGAATGTAGTGCGTTGGCTGAGCTCTGTTTTTTCTAGGTTATTGAACTTATCAGGGTCAATTATTCTAGGTCTAGTTAACTTTTTATATTCCAATAATCTAGTTGATCCCGATCTACTAGTTTGACCTATGACGTAATTGATCTCACTCACAGTCATTACATGGTATTTGGTTAATTATCTTATTTTTTTAATTGGATGTATTGGGTCCACAAGCCGACAAAGTTTATCTCTTAGTTCATCCGTTGGTTGGTTGGTAGGTTGTAATGCCACTCTAATTTCAACCTGATGAAGAATCATACATAGAACTTCTGATGTTCCTTCTTTATAAATCAGTACTACAGAGGCTTTGAATTCCACATTATTTTCTTCGTTACCCTTTTGTCCTTTTCAATACTAACCTTAGATTTTTTCTGTGGTTCTTCTTTATATTTTTCTGAATAAATTCTGCTCTAAACCTTGTCATCCAGTTGTTCATACTGTATCATCATCATTGTGTGATATGGAATTATATTGTACCACAGTGCCCAAGTTTTAAACTGACATTATTCGAAATACCTAAGGCTTATCGATTAGAGACTACTATTGTGTCGTGAAGGTTAAGTGTTTTGCAGTGTTGTATGAGCTCAGTGGAGAAAAACAGTAATCAAAAAGTCATAATAGTATAGGGAAACCGTCTAGTTGTTGATTTTCTTTACTCTATTTTGCCCTTATTGAATGATTCTGACTAACAACAGTTCAGCGTTAAATATTTCATAGTGTTAGTGGTATCTCTCTATGTTGGCACACTTGAAGAAAGTGAACAGAAATACAATGATAAAGGAAGTGGTGTTTGGGATTGCAAATGTAACGGGATGAATACACATGAACCGAAGTAGATTATTTAGAGGCGTGTCACACAGAGTCTTTAACCAATGAATTTTGTGAATTAAATATACAACTTGGGCACTGTGATAGAGTATAACTCCATAATGGATAAGATTTTATCTTGATAAATCACACAGTGTTGTACAGTTTTATATTAACTGATGACGTTTCGAGCACAAACTATTGCCACTCATAATCATATCCAAGCACTACTCACACAACTTTTATCCTTTCATTTATATACATGTGTGGAATCGATTAGATATTGAAATAAAATTCAATATGAGATAATGTACATTCAGAAATAATAGTACGAGTGTTATTAATCCATTACAATTAGATGAGAAATACGACGAGTGTTTTCATAGTCATAATAAGTTAATTGTTAGAATGTTATGATGTGCTTGAATGGAAATAGAATTTTTCAGATTATTTATTATCCTCTTCTGATTTGACCGGCGGTAATAATGTCTTCCATATTTCTGGTATTTGCATTGAGTCACTTCTGTTGCATGTGTTGGGTGTAGACTCGATGAACAAGGATTCCGTAATCAACCTCTCTCTCCACCTACCTATGTTGCTCTTTAGAATTTTAACCTTATCACACCCTATTGTGTGGTTGTTCGTTAATGCGTGAAGTGCAATTGCTGAGCTTTTTTCTAAATTACTTATCTTCTCGGGTGGGGTCAACCATTCTTCCCTCAGCAAAATTCTTATGTTCTGATAATCTGACTACCTCCGACCTACTAGTCTGACCTATGTAATTGACTTCACAGTCAGTGCAGGGTGAGCAACAGCTTATGCTCGAAACGTCATCAGCTAATATTACTGTGCGACACTGTGTGATTTATCAAAATAAAATCTTATCCATAATGGAGTTTCTTTAATCCATTCTACCCTTATTGAATGATTTTGACTAACAACAGTTCAACGTAAAATATTGCATAGTGTTGGTGGTGTCTGTCTATATCGGCATATTTGAAGAAAGTGAACAGAAATACAGTGAGGAAGGATAGTTCAATGAGAAGTTGTGTGTTGGATTTCAAATATGATGGGATAGATACACATATAAATTGCAGTAAATTATTTAGAGACGTGTCACACAGAGTCTTTAACCAATGAATTTTGTGGACTTTGATCAAAATTAACTTGCATCTTCAAATGTTTTTGAGACGATCAGGAGAGTTTTATGTGCTTTTGGAAGTGTGTACATCCCGGCTGCCCATACCATATTTTTGGCATGCGGCGTGCTCTTGTCAAATGTAAAATGATGCTACAGAACTGGACTTCATCGACTCTTAGCTTAAAGATAGGGAGTGAAGTAGTCAGTGGAGCGTGTTAACCATTTCACTTATTTGAGAAATTGCATCAGGCTGGTTGCTGACAAAATTTAGGCGAGGTTACAAAAGGTTCATGTGGCGTTTGCCGAAATACATTATTTTTGGCTCAGGCGTGATATCTGGCTGGCTGTCTATCAAAGGACATGTTGACTGCTTAGTAGTCCACCCCGTCCTCCTATGTGGCTGGCTTTGGGACATGGTCACTGAAAGTAGGAGACATGATAAGGCTAGCTGTCTTTGACCAAAGGTATCTGCGTATTTCTTCCCATGTTAGGGGGTGTAATTTGGTGAGTAATATTGAGGTTAGACGCTGAGTGTCAGGTAAGGAGTAGAAATCAATCAAAGAGGTTACATCGATTGAGATGGTTAGGACATGTGTTACGCATACCTATACTAACCATCGCTTACCTCCATGACCAATGTCAGCTGACTAGCATAGGATGGATTAGGTTGGAGAAGAGCTAGCACATAGTGGTCAAACCAAAACATGTCTTCATCAGTCAGTGAAATTCATCACAGTTTGTGTAAGCCGGCCACGCATGGAGGTGTAAACTTCCTGCCAGTCTGATTGGGGTCCCCTAGATTCCAATAACCAATGGCTGGATACAATTGGTGAGATGACGCGAAATGGTTCTCATTGATGGCTGGCGCAGATGTATTCACTATTTGTGATTTTTCATATCCAATAAACTTGTCTTGTTCTCCCATGCTGCTATTCTTTCTCCTTCACATTTCTACTGATTATGGTTCTTCGGAATCACTTTTTTCTCTCTTGTCTTCGTTTGTATGCTGCATGCAGATGGGCAACTTGAATTGCTTCGCTTCTGTGCAAAGTTCTCTGTTGAAACTATCCTGGCTATCAGTCAGGATGAGACTATTTTTGGTCCATAATCATGTGTCATGTTTGAGCAAGAACATGCCAAACTAATTTCTGACCAATAAATGCAGTTGTTTGGCTCATTCAAAGTATGTGTGTCTCGACACCACTCTGAACATTAAAGACTAGTTATCCTATCTGCTTATAGATATCTTTCTTGCATAGTATTCAACGCTTAAATCTTTCTGTATCTGACAACATTATTAGCACTCACGTAGTAACATCATTGCCAATCATATAGTGAACTTTCACATCAATGTGCGGTTGCTTATAGTTATTAATTAAATTACTTTTCATTACTCTGTTTTTATTCTTCTTTTTTAACAATAAGGTGTATATTTCGAGTGTGATGAGTGTGAACTGTCGTTTGTTCGAAAGTGGAATTTAGAAAAACACAAGAGAGAAGTACATGATGGTGAGTTATGTCATAGTATGATTGTGAAGAATTTATTTATATATATATGTTTATGAAGAGATGGTGTTACGTTATTCTGCTCTAAGAAACTAGTTAGTTAAACTGCTTGAACAGATTTGAGCTCGCTTTCAGTTAACCTCAACTAGAAATAACTCTCATAATTACTGTGTCGCCATCTATCCTGTAGTACCTGAGCTTTAGCCATACTACCTGCTGACTGATTCTCTAGCCTGGCCCACCTAACTTGGTAGTCAGGCTGTTCTTAACACAGTCCCAGCTAGTGAAGGGAGAATAGAACTCCATGGCTATTCAAAATTGTATTTATTAGCGATGACAGGAATAAACTATAGAGATACACAATTACACCACAACGCCACCGCGAAGCTCTTGTTCCTTAAAAATGATACTGACCACCATGTGTTTCAGTCTGCACAGAAAAATGAATTGATCGTTGACAGTGAAATGTCTAAGACTCAAATGACTTCACGAGCTTCTTTGATCCCCTACACTGTTACATGCGTTGAATGTTGATGCGGTGAACAAAGATTTTTTCAACTAAACTCATCAACCCTAGACTTACACTTATTTGTTTAATTGTATGCATTGCATGCACAACGTGGTAACATAATTTATTTATTATTAGTATTATCAGTATTTTATTCCTTTACTTTCCGAGTGGAACATATGCCTTGAAGCTAGAACGTTGAAGTTTCGGTAGCAGTAGTTTTATTTTTACCGTATGCAGTTGCTAGTCTCACGCCCAACCTTCTCTGTCTACTGGCTTTATTACCGGCTTAACGGGGTTTTAGGTGTGTGTCTTGCGAGGATCGGACCCTGGACCGCGTGGGCGATTGGCGAGCGTTCTACCGCTGATCCACCAACGCATGGTGACCTATTTAGACATCATTAGTTGAATCTACCAGATACCATTTTATCACTGTGAGGTCGAATAAGCTGATTAGTCAGACCAGTAAATCGGGATCACATATAATAGTGATGACGCAATACCACTTATGGATATATGGAAACTTTCCATTAAGACGATTCACCGAAGGTGAAGACTTCTAGTCCTAGCTGATGAGATTCAAGGAGTTGAGAATAGACAGTGTGAGACAATAAGGATTTAGACCATTTCTCACGTGACTTATTATGTCTGTCGACTGCAATAGTAACGAGCTAAGTGATACACCACTTACCCTACTGGTAACGCTTAACACCCTTCACAATATCACATAGTAGTTTTTGACTAACCCAGGAAAGACTATGGGAGCAGTAAAGCGTAATAGGTAAATTGTGAGAGTTAAGAAACTCTGAAAGTAGAGGTTGAGTGATTCCAGATTATCTTAACTTCTTAGTGTAAAAGGTGGTTAGATGGGATATGTTCTGAAAAATATAGACAGGATAACGGGAGACGAAGAAAGGCTAGAGGGTAAAACCTATTCCAAAGTATTTAATGCTGTTTCTATTTGTGTCATAAAGGTGACGTCAAAACGGCACACACTGACTGACACTCCTCAGAGTTCATTGCCAGATTCAGTGTTACCCTCCATCAACAGTATTTATATCGATACATATTTCATTTGTAATCAACGCTGAAAGGTGATTTGTGCCAACCTTACCATCTCTTCATAATACACAAATTTGTTAAGCTTAAACTGTTTGAACTAGCACAAATGAATGAGGAATGGTGCAGTTGCATCTCCACATCTTCAACACTAGAAAACAGAAAATAGTTGTCATTTGACTTCGAATTCACTCATTTTTCATTTCACATTTTTACACCTGAATAGGTCAAGGTATTATTTCTTTAGGCGTTCCCATTGTTACTATTATTATCTGTATACGTCGAATATTTCCACAATCCTGAATGCAATATAACAATTTTATTGCAAAAATCTTTTATAGCCAACACATGGAAAAATACATCACAAAGGTTAGTCGGTGTAGTACATATGCATCAGGATAGAAGGCGGAATATTATGAGTCAGGATTTCTCACGTGATCGATATACCAAATATTCGATCCCACACAACCTAGTCTGAAGGCCAAGCCATTGAATTAACTAGAAGGTCCTGGGTTCGAGCCCCGGTGGGTTCGTACTGATGAAGAGTCCCAAACTAGGACGAAACAGCTGTCCAGTACTCCCTGATTGGTTTTCCGATGGTTCTCTAACCAATGTCAGCTCATGATCAAATCCTGTAACCATTGAATTTCTATTGGCAAATACTATCCGATCAGAACACTGCTCGTATATCTTTAACCTTGTGATCTATTGTTGATGTAAAAATTAACTGTAATTTTCTAGTTTTACTACCCTTTCTCTGGATTAATAAATCTGTGCCCTCTGAGTCAATCTCCTGTGTCTTCCTCAGTGTAGGAAGAGTATTCGAATGATTGATTAGCCATATTTTGTTATTCATTGGTATTAGTAATGTGCTAGTAGAGATAAGATGATTCGAAGAGGAATCTGGAGAATTAGTTCACTTGTTTCTTCATTTCTACCAGAAAGTCAAGCTTCCAAGTAGATTCACATGTCCTTACGATGGGACTGACTTCTTGTAACTTTTGACACTTAAGTTTTTATTAGGCACATCACAGTTTATTAAGTACAGTGCGTAACTGACAGATAAATTTTGAAGAAGATATACTGAGGGAGACTCTGCAAATTCTCACAAGATGAACCACCTAATTCAGTCTCGTCTGTGCATACTTAACAGTTCTACTGTTTATTTACTTGGAATTTGATATTTCTATATACAGGGGAATTATGTAGATCTTTTTTGAAACCGCACAGATTTTCCATGCTCTGCTGCTGCTGCTACCTTTTGTATTGTGTTTTCTTACATTCTATCAATGTCTTACATTTTCTCTGCAGCACTGGTTCATCATTTCCTCTTGTTGTCATAAAATCTGTCTTTCCGCTCTTTGGTTGCTCTTATGCAACTGAACCTCTCCTTACATACTACTGATAAATCTTGTTAGTAGCACTCGCCACAATATGACATTACTTCTAATTCTTAAAAAATTATCGGCAGAGTTATCAGTTGACATTATATAACTTCGTTGCATTTTTTATCATTTGAATTTCTCACTTTATATAGGCAAGAAAAAGTTTCCTCTTCACTTTATCCACTTTTGTTTATTTTGTGTTATTCTCTGTTGTGTTGTTGTATATAGGTGAAAAATTCAATTGTCCCCAGTGCAATAAAACATACTCCACTAAAAATTTCCTTAAGCAACATGTACAGGTGCATCATAAAGGTGAGTGATATATGTGTGTGTATGTATGTGGGTGTGTTTATTCATGTCAATACTTGTGCTGACCGAACTGTTTTCTTTTTTGTATTGTTGAAATGTATTGCATAATCACTCAGTCAGTTGATGTGCTTATTGTATGACTAACTGATTGATTGATTGATTAAACGTGTTAACCAGCTGAATTGTCATCTATAACACACCAGACTTAAAGAATTGTTAAGCAAGAAGGTGATCTGTAAACCAGACATTTAAAGGTGATGTCAATGGATTTATATTGATTATTATTCTTTTGGGTGGAACAATTGGCATCAACAAGATATCTCCATTTTGGTCCGATTCTCTTCAGTCCTTAGCTGTCACCATGACTGCCCATAAGCTTTAATCCCCATGTGATCCTTGCACTGATTTCCAGTTCGTCATATCTCATTTGGGTTGCACTGAAGCGATGGCCTGGCATGCGATGTGTTACCCAGTGGTCTCCTAAGCGTGTGTCTTATCCGTCTCCATTTCCTCCTGTATACATATTAAGCAATAGGTTCTCACTTGTTGGTTCGTTCCCAGAGTTTCTTGTTGCTAACTCTTTGTGGCCATCTGATCTGCAGTATGGAGCTAGCGAAAGCCACTGTTGATAAAAGTTTGCGTTAGTCTGTTGCAAGCCCTTGTCGTGATGTGCCAGGCCTCTGACCCATACAGAAGAACTGACTTAAAATTGTTATTGCAAATTCTAATTTTGCTCTTTATGGTGAGTGTAGCAGATTTCCAGAATGATTCCAAAGTGATCAAGGTGTGCCTTGCTTTCCGGTTCTGATTTTGACATTCTCATCCTTACTGGCTGCCTGGTTTTGAAACGATGCTTCCTATTTAAATGAAGGAAGCAATCTCTTCCAAGTTTATTCCGCTGATAGTGATCGTTGGTTGGTTGATTATCTTCATCACATTTTTCTTTTCTATGTTTACTTGAAGTCAACGTCTTCGCTGTTTGCTTCTTCTGTCAACTTGTTGCTTTTGCCTGTAGGTTTTCGAATTTATATGACCTTACAAGTATATCGTCCGCTAAATCTCGATCTTCTCGAGTCTTATTGGCACAATGTATTTCTGTCTTCTCGCTCCTGACATACGGTCTTTCGCATAATCCAGTCCATCACAATTATAAATATGATCGGCGTTAATAGGCATTGAGCTTTGTCATACTCGTGTATTCACTTCAAACGCTTCTCTAAGTTTTCAATTGTAGTTCACGTGGTATGTGTCAGTGTTATGTAGCTGTTGAAGGAAATTGATAAAGTTTTATGACACTGCATTCGCTCCCACCAGATGTAAGTTGTTGCTAAAGGACTGGATTACATTGAACATAGGTCTCTGCGTTCTATCTCGCGATATAGGTGGTATAATAGGATGAGCAATTTTGAGGTTAGGCGTCGAGTGCCAGGTAAAGAGGGGAAATCAGTTGACGAGGCTGTGAAGTTAGATCAATTGAGATGGTTCGAATATGTGTTACGCGTGCCTAGCCATCGCCTTCCTCGATGGGCAATGTTAGCTGCTATAGGATCAGGTTGGAAAAGAGCCAGTGGTGGTCAAATCAAAACACAGCTCCATCAGTCAATGAAACGTACAACAGTTAGTTTAAGCCACGTAGTAAGGCGTAGACTGGCTTCCTGTTTGGGGTCCTCGGGACAGTGAAAACCAATGGCTGGAGACAATAGGTGATATATGGCTCAAAATCGTTCTCGATGATGGCACAG